GGAGTAACCCCCCATCAGTTTGCTTTCCCTCTCACTCACACTGCTTCCTGATGAACACGTCCAGCAGCCCAGCAGCGATACGGGAGAGACATGATCACCGCGCCTCAGCGGTCTGGGAGGAACATCACCACCTCCGCACCGCGCCGACCATCGGAGAACGGACGCAAGCCTATCGGCCGCAATCCTCGTGCCTCAGCCTACCGGCTATCATCACGTCTCCTCCGGTCACGTCCGCCCCGCGCACGGTCCCTATCACGATCCCTCTCGGATCTCCTGCGATCATCTCGCCTTCGATCTCGCTCCCGATCGAGTGATTCATCATCACGACGATCACGAGCATCGTCCCTCCTCCGGTCTCGCTCATCCTCGCGCCGTGGACGGTATCTGCGCCTCCTTGACTCCCTGGAATCCCTGGTGTCCACGGTCCTAACGGACCTCCGAGAAGGAGTACGGGAAACATCCGAGTCCCTACGCCTCCTCCCAGATCGAGAGTTCGTCACGATCTGGTTGAGAGCCTCCAGTGCCGACGCGTCCTCACCATTCCTGATGAAATCCCTGACCTGCTTGTTCAGCACTCTGTTGGTGGAGATCGACAAGAAAGCGTCCACCACCGAACCCTCAGGCAGCACCAGAAAGTGACCCTCCACCGGGCTCGCCGCGGCCCGCTCAGCAGACTGCAGCCGGATCTCCCCGCCTTCAGGCTTCTTTGCCATCGCCTTGGAGGCCGTCAAAGGCGCTACCGCATCCTTTGCCGAAGATCTGCCAAGCGCGGAGTGAAGATCATCCCCGCTAGCTTCTCTCGCTGCCGCACCTGGTCTGCTGTCGACGTCGCCAGGCCTCGTGGACGCCTCCCGCTTTGTCGACTCCTTCGCAGCCTCATCGGGATCCCAACGGGATTTCCTTTCTCTCTTCTGCCCTTCGGCCGACCCGCGGCTACCGCCGGGAGCGTCCTTCGCCTGTCTTCTCCCTCTTGACCTCAACCTTCGGTTCGGCCTGCTTCGTCTCCTTAGCCACAGCTTTTGGAGCCGGAGCACTCTTCACCTCAGATGCTGAAGCAGCCTTCCCTCTCGGCTCGGCCTTAGGAACCGGGGTCACTTTAGCCTTTGCACTCGGCCTGGCCCCTTCAACCACCATCTCGGCCCAAGACTTCTTCGGTTGGGCTGCCGCTGCATCAACCTCCATCGGAGCAGGTCCAGCATCATCCTTCGCCTTTGGGACAGATGGGCTACCGCCCTTACCAGATCCTTTACCTGGCACTTCACCTGACTTCGGTGGTGGGCCGGAAGGACTACCGCCCTTACCGCCCTTTTCTCCCTTCTTTCCTTTTCCTTTTCCGCCCTTGGGGACCGGCTCCTGCTTGGGACCAGGACCCGGCGCAACATGATGCACCGATTGGAGTCCCTCGATGTCCACGTTCAATGGTTCGGGTTGACGACCGTCAAGAACCGTCCTCACCCTTTCGTCACTAACGTAGACGAACGGGTCACGGAAGGGTGCGGGAGGCTCCGACTGTCCGGCGCTGATCGCCTTCTGCACCTTGGCTATCGCCTCCTTCAACCTCTTCTTCTCATCATAGCCTGTCTCCGATACCATGTACCCCCTGAGCTGCGACATCAACGCATGACTCTCCAGGATGTCCACGTCCTTTCGATGGGTCGGGTACAATGGGGTCAGATGACCAGCCGCCGAACCAATCACGTATGCCATCGGAATATAGAATGACAAGTACGTGTCATGGCGAGCGAACTTCCTAACGGAAGTCGTCATACGCCTACCCCACTGCGCAGCGTGTCTTGGATTGGCTCGGAAATACTCCGTGACCGACTCAAATCTATCGACTTGGTTGGTCTTGATCAGGTGCTTCGCCACCCACTTCTCCACAAACGCATCCGAGGCCGAAATCCCGGACACATAGGAGAATTGGAAGAGCACCTTCGCCAGCTCATCCCACGCCGCATCGACACCTCCCTTGTCTTCACCAAGATAAGGGGGAAGTCTGATGCCGCTCTGCACCGTCATCCTCAGATCGGATGCCATCGAATAGGAAATCAAATTCCTCTTGATGACTCCGACCACTTCGGAGGGAATCCTCCTGGGCTTGAACTGCCCCATGGTCCTCACCCACTCCGGCACGATGTGGCACCTTTCGAAGTCCTTTTCCTCCGCGTTGGGGATAAAGTTCGGGTAAAAGACCGGGAGCGCGCACCCGGGACATAAGTGCATCCCATTTGGCATCAATTCTGCGCACCTCAAGCAGAACGTGGCAGTCACATTCAGCCTGATCTCTTCCCGTGATCGCCTGTGCTCTCCCCTAACGGGGGTGAAGTCACCGTAGTCCCATGCCCGATGGTACACTATCGTGTAATCATCGTACATATACGCCGCCTTCCAAGCCCCCATGTGGATCTCGTTCCTAACGGCAAGAGTCTTCCTTCTCGTCAAAACACGGGTCCAACCAAGGACCAGTGCACCCGAAGATCCACCATTACCACCACGTACCTACCGGAGTAGTTCCGCAGCCTGTCCCTGACATACCACGAAGGCGATACCTCGGCATCCGGCGCCATGGCTCCCACAAGTGGGATCAGGCCCTCATCCTGTCTACCATCCCCAATGGTCTCGTACACATCGGGCCTCGTGATCAGTATCTCGATCATGGCCTTTCCATTTCGCCTCATTCTTTGGAGCTGAACCGCCTTCCGAAAGTCCGAGAACTTCATGATGACGTATCCCACCATGGGGAGTTCATTCCAATGCATCTCATACATCAGAGATCCGCCAGGTGCATCTTCCTGAGTATACCTGTGCCTAACGGCACTGTAACTCAAGTCGCGTCCGATCCGCGTGTGCCTAACGGCAACCAACCTGGTGCTCTCTCTGAGGAGAACGCCATCCCCGTCGTACATGACCATGAGCATCGCCTCCACTTGCCCTATCGGGAAAGCTTTGAGCGTCGGAATGAAGAACTTCCAAGACATCTCAGCGTTCTCCATACCCGAAATCTCCTTCAGGAACCAGATGGCCTGGTCCAGACAACCAAACGGCAGAATGACTCCGCTGAAGTTCCCGTCACCGTGGCGTCGCATCCACGGTGATCCCTCACCGCGATTTTCAATATTCCTTGCCATGGAAAAATGCCTAACGGCAAATGGCCACCATCGAGGTTCAAATCCAGCTTGATGCAGGAGCACACGTGCCCCGTGAAGAACGAGCTTAACCTTGTTCTCGATCAGGCCATTGGTCTTGGGCATGCCCGTGCGTTGCAATGCTCAGCTGGTGGTGATGCTATCTCTGCGCCTGGGGCCTGGTCGCTGTATTACCACCAGAAAGTTTGTTCCCCTTGCAAAAATCTGCGGAAATGCCTCTGAGCGTAGTTTGCTACTGGATCTGATCGCACAAGGAAGACTCGGCGTGCTCGCAGCGAGGTCATACAACAATTATCGCGTCTGCTTGGCCAGCGAAAGCCTGATCCCATCCTTCACCATCGTGGTCGGCGGTGGTTGCGTCCCCAAAACTTACTACGTCGCGTATAAACCCTCAATGATATCCTTTGATATCTTCCATTTCGCAGGCAGGTGCGGGTACGCGGGTTCTTGGGAGATGCAGAGCATACATGTTGTCTTGAGCATCCGTCTGCCATCCAGCCTCTGTGCGAGTCCGAGAAAGCTGACCTGACAATGTCAATATCATCCCTTCTGGCTGGTGTGGTGAGTGGCTATCGCCCTCACCCCCCTGTTCCGCCTTTCCGGGAAGAGCAACGGTCTCGCACTTGATCCGAAACCACGTTTCACCCGTCCAAGGGACATCAGATGCTATCGCATGCTGATCTCTTTCGGATAACTCCCATAGACTATCAACCAGCACCTCATGGGTAACCCCATTTCGGTGAACGACGGTTTTCCTGTAGTTGTCCAATCGATCAACCCCAACGGGACAATCATCACCTGTCGGCATAAACTTCGCCTTACGCGGAAGCCGGTGCTCCTTCACAACATGGCCCGACCGCTCAGTGCGCCAGGTGTCCTGCAGCTCACTCTTGGCCGTGAGTTCAGACCTACACGGCGGAACCTCGCTTGCTTCAAGCCCTTGATACGCCGCACCGGGGGCAGGCATGGCAGGAAGTGATTCAGCATCATCAAGAGTGGGAGAAACGAACTGAGTGTCACCATGAGGAAGATATGGCACGTTGTTGATGACATCCAATGTCACCGTGCGGCCCGAAGGACACGTGAGAGTAGGCTTGCAACCCGCAGTCCATTCAAACGAGTATCCCATATCCATACAGCGCTTTCCAACGGATATGATGGATGGAGTGGACTCAAGGACGTGTGCCTCAATCACCTCGTCCAGGTTGCCAACATCAGCATCAACACGACCAGCGGTGCGAGTCGCCCCGTTAGCAGTGTGCAGCGCGTGGGTGTGCCCGCCTTTGGCAATCAGGGCCCTATCGGGTCCTTTCAAATCACCAAGACCGACCAGATCCATTGGGCAACCAGTATCTACCAGCCACCTCACCCCGCCGTATCCAACAGGTGCAGCAACCTTCTGAGTGTATCTCGGCTTTCGAACAACGCGATGTCCCCGCACATCCCCAGGGTTGGTGTCGATGTCTTCGTCGTCGTCTAAGAGCACTTGGGCGTGAACAGCCGCTGCCCTTATCAGAGCACTTTGAACCTCCCTAGCAATTTTCTTTCGAGATGGGAACTTTTTCGCATTTGGATGGCTGTATCCAGCCTCTCGGCAACGATTCACGACCCTGCCCGTATTGTCATTCTCAATTG